AAATGGGACCCCAAATCCAGCAGATGGTGAGAGCCCAAAAAATGGGACAGAGCCACAAATGGGACCCCAAAACCGCCCCCAAATGGGACCCCAAATCCAGCAAATGGTGAGACCCCAAAATGGGGCAGAGCCCCCCAAATGGGACCCCAAAACCACCCCCAAATGGGGCACAGCCCCCCCAAATCCAGCAGATGGTGAGAGCCCCAAAAATGGGGCACAGCCCCCCCAAATGGGACCCCAAAACCGCCCCAAATCCAGCAGATGGTGAGACCCCAAAAATGGGACCCCAAAATCGCCCCAAATGGGACCCCAAATCCAGCAGATGGTGAGAGCCCAAAAATGGGGCAGAGCCCCAAATGGGACCGCAAAACCACCCCAAATGGGGCACATCCCCCCCAAATGGGACCCCAAAACCACCCCAAATGGGACCCCAAATCCAGCAGATGGTGAGAGCCCAAAAATGGGGCAGACCCCCAAAATGGGACCCCAAAACCCCCCCAAATCCAGCAGATGGTGAGACCCCAAAAATGGGACCCCAAACCTCCCCCAAAATCCAGCAGATGGTGAGAATCCCCCAAATCTAGATGGTGAGACCCCTCCCCAAATGTGACCCCAAATCCCCCCTCCCTGATCCAGCCCAGGGCAGTGACTTTTTGGGGCACTGGAGGGGGTCACCGGGGGATTTTGGGGGTCCTGACCCTCTCATTTTTAGGGAATTCGCCTCCATCTCTCCCCACCCTATTTCTGAACCCCATTTTTAGGGTTTTTCTCCTTTTTTATGGGTTTTCCACCCCCCATCTCAGGGTTTTTCCTGCACTTTCTCCCTCCCCAATTTATGGTGTGACCCCTCCCCTTCCCTTCACCTCCCACCCCAATCCTGACCCCAAATCACCCCAAAATTCCCCTTTGTGACCCCCAAACCCCCTCTGTGCCCCCCCAGCTCCCGGATAAGCTCATTCCCAGTTTGGTGAAATATTATTATTCCTGGAAAAAAACCCGATCCCGCACCAGCGTCATGGACCGCCAGGCTCGGCGCCTGCTGGGCCGCCGGGACCGCGATGACAGGTATGGGACACCTGAAAAAAACCCCAAAAAAACCCCAAAAAACCCCAAAAAACTGCCAAAAACCCAAAAAA